GTCGGATTCTCCCCGACGTTGGATGATGAGTCTGATGAGTGGTACGGTCTGGTCTCTCCGAAAATTATCTGGTGCATCAGAGTTTCCCCGTAGATTCTGCTGACACAGGTGATTATTTATTACAATTCGCTGGACTAAAAATGTGAAGTAGTGCTTCTATTTTAGCGTTAAATGTCTTTTTTTTTTTAAGAGTACAGTTACTTTTTTGCGATACTTTGAATGTTAAACGAGTACGAACGATGGAAAATGCTGGATTTTAAAAACATGACTCAACAAAACAAACAAAAAAATATAAATTATGATTCTTTACAGTATCAGCAGCTCTATTATCTACACTTAAATGTGCATTTTGTAACTTTTCTACCTGCTTTTCTCCATGGAGATGTCATTGCTTTATCTGGAATGTCCCACAGTATGGCATTAAACCTTTCTATATTCAAGTTACAGGTCAGATCTGTGGAGAGGTGACCCCGCTCACAGTCAGAATGATTGTTTTTTTTTTGTTTTGTTTTTGTAATGTTTGAGCTATAAAACCACCTGTAATTGAGTAAATGTAAAGTAGAGCTGTTTAAAGTCACACTGCGGAACATTTGAAGCAGAGCAGTGACGTAGAAACAAGTGGATGACTGACCCACAACCAAAAAGTTACATAATCGGTAGGGAGTATTATCACGATAATCATCTCACTGTATGATTTTTATTGCGATATTTTGGAGATGGGACACTTTTTTGCTTTTTAAAAAACCTTGACAAGATTTTGGTGTGAATTATTTTCGTCATAATCCCAAGAATTCAAGTAAAAACATACTTCTTCATGTTGTCTGCGCTGAAATGAATCATGGGATATGTAGTTCCCGATGTTTATAAGCTGTTGCTGCTATAAAACCATGTAATTCGATATATTGTGACAGACCACAGTATTACTGTGAGACTTTTGACGATCCCACGGTCTTGGAAATCCGGGAAAAGTCATGGAAATTGAAAATGTCATTTTCCAGGCCTGGGAAAGTCATGGATTTTTGTAAATTCAATGAAAGTTTTGGAAAAGTCATGGTCCCGGACCTGGTCCATTTGAACCAAAAGCTCTTAGTTCGGTTCATTTCTTGAGGACCGAACCAGAGCAGCCTGGAGCAGCCCGTCCAGACCTGTAGTCCACAGAACATTCTCGCTTTCCCCGCACGAACCAGAGCGCAGACGATGACATGGAACCGCTCGGACCGCTGGTCCCGGTCTGGTCCTGGTCTGGTCTCGGACCTGGATCAGTCCTGGTTCAGTCCGAACGCGGTGCAAAACTCCAGCATCGCAGTCACGGAAGTCACGTAAACGGGAAACGGCCGTTATGCGTTTTTTCTATTTTTCATTTAAACGCAAAATCGAAAATTTAAAAAAACAATCGTTATCCGTTTTTTCATTTTGGTTTTGGAGACAAATAATGAAGAAAACTGTTGTTATTTCGTTTTCTTATTTTTGGTTTTATATTGAAAAACGAATGAACGAACGACACACGGATTGAGTCTGTACCTAATTTTTAAATCACTCCCAAAAACGCACCTTTTCTCAGTGGCTTTTAATAAGTGACATGTACAGTTTTTTGTTGAGTATCTTATTGTTTTCTATGTTTTTCAGTAGTTTTCTCGTGTTTGTACCATATTTTCTTTTTCTACTGTGATTGTCATTGTCTGTCCTGTGTTTGTGTGCAGCACGTTGGCCTACTGTAAAGTTTTTAAAGTGCTTTATAAATAAAATTGGTATGGTATAGTATGGTGTGGTCACGAGTCACGTCTCTACGCTGTCTTTAAAACGTTCCGCAACCGATCTGCACGCACCTCGTGACCTTTAGCACGGCGCATCTCGCTCATTTGCCATTCGCGCTTATAAATAACCCAGTTCCATATCGAGGCCTGTCTCCGGAGATGGCATTGTCTGGTGCATCTGTCTGCTGTCTGTCTGCCCAGCGTCTGGCGTGTTTAAAATACTCGGAGAGATGCTATCGGCGGTGGCTCGGAGTTAGCCTCGGTCCAGCGAGCGCCAAACAATGCACCGCGTTTATTTATCATCGCTTTGCCACCTTCGGCTTCGCGCATTGTCATTGTGAAGTGTTTATCTCGGAGGGTAAACAGGGCGGCCAGGCGAACGCTAATATTTCTGGAATCTGCTGTTTGTTTCCACGCGGTTTCACAATGAGCGAGAAGGATTACACAAATATTGAACAAAACCGGCGCGATGTATGTCCCAATCAAAACGAAAAACGGCGCAGCGCTGTTTAAAATACCGCGGCGGCGCTTCGGCTCAGACATCACAACTTTCTATAGGCCGCAAATGTTTCATACAGACGGAGGCGGATACAAAAACGAGTGAAAAATGCAGTTTTTAGTGAAGTTCTGAGTCTGATCGATGATACGAAGGGTCGGGTTCAACATCTGAGAGTAAAACAGCGTCACATGTCACATTCTCTCTGAAAAACACCACAGCAGTTACGTAAAGTTTGGCTGTGAAGAAACTGTGAGTGAGAAGAGAAATTTCACACTTTTTTTTTTTTTTTCTTCTCCACACAAACAAGAGAGAATCAGCACTCGACTGTATTTAGTAGTAGTAGTTGTAGTAGTAGTAGTAGTAGTAGTAGTTGTAGTAGTTGTAGTAGTAGTAGTAGTAGTAGTTAGTAGTGTAGTAGTAGTAGTAGTAGTAGTAGTAGTAGTAGTAGTAGTAGTAGTAGTACTAGTAGTAGTAGTAGTAGTAGTAGTGTAGTAGTTGTAGTAGTAGTAGTAGTAGTAGTAGTAGTAGTAGTAGTAGTAGTAGTTAGTAGTAGTAGTAGTAGTAGTGTAGTAGTAGTAGTAGTAGTAGTAGTAGTTGTAGTAGTAGTAGTAGTAGTAGTTGTTGTTGTAGTAGAAGTAGTAGTAGTAGTAGTAGCAGTTGTAGTAGTTGTTAGTAGTAGTAGTAGTAGTAGTTAGTAGTAGTAGTAGTAGTAGTAGTAGTAGTCTAGTAGTAGTAGTGTAGTTGTAGTAGTTGTAGTAGTAGTAGTAGTAGTAGTAGTTGTAGTAGTAGTAGTAGTAGTAGTAGTAGTAGTAGTAGTAGTAGTTGTAGTTGTTGTTGTTGTTGTTGTAAGTTGTAGTAGTTGTTGTTGTAGTAGTAGTAGTAGTACTTGTAGTTGTAGTAGTAGTTGTAGTTGTAGTAGTGTAGTAGTAGTAGTAGTAGTAGTAGTAGTAGTAGTAGTAGTAGTAGTAGTAGTAGTTAGTAGTTGTAGTTGTAGTAGTGTAGTAGTTGTAGTGTAGTGTAGTAGTCAGTAGTAGTAGTTGTAGTTGTAGTAGTAGTAGTTGTAGTTGTAGTAGTTGTAGTAGTAGTAGTAGTACTTGTAGTTAGTAGTTGTAGTAGTAGTAGTAGTAGTAGTAGTAGTAGTAGTAGTAGTAGTAGTAGTAGTAGTAGTAGTAGTTAGTAGTAGTTAGTAGTAGTAGTAGTAGTAGTAGTAGTGTAGTAGTAGTAGTAGTAGTAGTAGTAGTATCTAGTAGTAGTAGTAGTAGCTAGTAGTAGTAGTAGTTGTAGTAGTAGTAGTAGTAGTTAGTAGTAGTAGTAGTAGTAGTAGTTGTAGTAGTAGTAGTAGTAGTAGTAGTAGTAGTAGTAGTAGTAGTAGTAGTAGTAGTAGTAGTTAGTAGTAGTAGTAGTAGTAGTAGTAGTAGTAGTAGTAGTTGTTGTTGTTTCTCGGTCATTTTGCAGCTCTACAAAACAACACATAAACTCCAGTTTGGGGCATGAGGCCGACAGGGTTTTTTAGGCTGAAGTAAAAAGCCAAACCCGAGTTTGTGTTTACAATCACACGACCTCCTGCTGCATATAAGAGACAGAATATAAATTAAAACAAACAACACTTAATGCATAATTCATTCCAGAGCTCTATATCTTTCAAAACATAACGCTTTATACTTTTTTTTTTTTTAAAGACATGAACCAGGAGAGACACAAAAAAATGACCAACGTATCGTGATTCATTTAATCACTGCCGAAAATCTAAGTTCGGTTTTGTTACGCAGAAAAAAATGTCACGGTATTTAAGTTACCTTCAACATCCTGCTCCTGGTGAGTGGGTCTGGAGCCAGGACTAAACCAGGACTAAACCAGGACTAAACCAGGACTAAACCTGGACTAAACCAGGACTAAACCTGGACTAAACCAGGACTAAAGCAGGACTAAACCTGGACTAAACCAGGAATAAACCAGGACTAAACCTGGACTAAAACCTGGACTAAACCAGGACTAAACCAGGACTAAACCAGGACTAAACCTGGACTAAAGCAGAAGTAAATCAAGACTACACCTGGATTAAACCAGGACTAAACCTGGACTAAATCAAGACTAAACCAGGTCTAAACCAAGACTAAACCAGAACAAAATCAAGATCAAACAAGGACTAAACCAGCACTAAATAAGGACTAAACTAGGACTAAACCAGAAATAAATCAAGACTAAACCAGGACTAAAACTAGGTCTAAACCAGGGACTAAACCAGGCCTAAACCAGGACTAAATCAGGATTAAACCAGAACAAAATCAAGACCAAACCAAGACTAAAACAAGGACTAAACGAGGACTAAAACGGGACATGACCAGGACCATATATCAAGACCAGACAAGGACTTGAACAGAGCTAGAACCAAACCAAACCAGGACTAAACCAGGTTTAAAACAAGCCTAAACCAAGAATAAACCAGAATTAAATTGAGACCAAACCAGGACTAAACAAGGATTAAACCAGGACTAAAACAAGGATTTAACAAGGACTAGACCAGGACTAGACCAGGACCATATCAAAACCAGAACAGGGCTTGAACAGGACTAGATAGAACCAACCCAAACCAGGACTAAAGAAGGACTAGCTCAGGACTAAACCACCTACACTGAACCAAGACTAAATCAGGACTAAACCAGGACTAAGCAAGGACCACATTGACCACCTCTTGTCTCCCCAGTCCTGACCACGGTCTCTCTCTCTGTCTGTCTGTTTTCGTCCAGGTCCAGGACATGTGCTTCAGCCCGGACAGCCGGTGGGTGGCGGTCAGCACCCTGCGCGGCACCACCCACGTCTTCCCCATCAACCCGTACGGCGGTGCCCCCTGCGCCCGCACGCACATGTCCCCCCGCGTGGTCAACCGCATGTCCCGCTTCCAGAAGAGCGCCGGCCTGGAGGAGATGGAGGCCGAGCTGAACCGAGCCGGGGCGGGCGGCGGAGGCGGAGGAGGAGGAGGAGGGGGAGCGCCCGGGGCCTGCATCCTGGGAGGAGCCGGGGGCATAGGGGGACGCTGCAGCCCCCTCCCCGGCCTGTCCAGCAGCCCGTCCGGATCCCCACTGCACGGTAAGGAGCCTCAGGTGGTCCACAGAAACACCTGTCAGTGGATGTGGTTCTGATTCTGGTTCTGATATCTGCTCCACATACCAAATGTTCACTGCAAACTCAGGATGATTTAGGCAGACAAAGATGACCTTTTTCGTCCTTCCCGTGGATCAATCCTGCTCACACACATCTGATTCACTTTTGCATTTATGGAGTTCACAAACACATTTCTCGAGCCGTTTTCCGCTGTTAGGATCCAACAACCACACGATTAATGATGTCCGAAACCAAAAGCTAAAATATGACAATATCAGAACCAGAAACAAAAGTGATATGGTTCAAAAGACTTTCCCACTGGGAAAACAAACATGGAGGTTTGATGCTCACTTTTTCGGAAAATCCTTCCCAGTGTGAACAGCACAATGACCGGAAGTCCGAGATTCTTGTTGCGTTTATAGGCCTTAAGGACTACATAGTCCCGCACTCTTTAGCGCCCTCTATGGAGCACTCCAGAGTTGAGGACTCGCGAGCCGTGACTTGGACTCGAGTCAGACTTGAGTCACTATTTTTAGGACTCCAGACTTGACTTGATAAAACGGACAAAGACTCGGGACTCGACTTGGACTTGAAGGTCAGTGGCTTGGGACTTGACTCGGACTTGAGGCCTGCGACTTGAGAAGACTTGATGCTTAGACTAGTTGGCAAATGAACTGTTCTGAAGCACTTTTAAATCTGAACTTTTTCTGTTCTGATCGTAATAATTCACACTCTTTTCAAGACATTTAAAAAGGAAAAATTTGCGTTTCTACAACTCTTAGATTCTATTTTTCCATTCCATTTAGTTTAAAAATTCATATAAATTGCAAAAATCTAAGCTATATTTGGTATATTGGTTTTAAAGACTTGAAATGACTCGAAGCTCAAAGCAGAAGACTTGGACTTGATTTGGACTCATGGGCCAGTGACTCGACACTCGACTTGGACTTGTCTGTATTTGACTTGGGACTTGACTCAGACTTGAGGTCAAAGATTTGAGACTTGCAAAACGACAACGTGGTCCCACCTCTGGAGCACTCGTTCACAGTCGGGTCATGTGACTCTGGCGTCTGAGTGAAAAGAAGTAAAAAAAAAAAAAAAATCTGATAAAACTTGATTTCATGAGTATTTATGAACTTATAATAATCATACATGTTTTTGTCGTAAACGGACTGGATTCTTTTGCTTTTTGTCTGGGATGTGGAGATGATCGCTCTTTTAACAACTGGAGCTTGAAGGTTTAACACTTTATTTAGTCCTGTTTTATTCAGAATCGGGATCTGCTGCTCTTTTCTCTGCTTCATTCAGTCGTGTTTTGTCCAGTTAATCTCCTGTCGCTGAACGCCGTTGTTTTCCCGACTCTCCCAGTGCATCGTGGTCTATTTTGTCCGCTTTACTGACCACCGATGCACACTGCTTTTGCATTTTGGGAAATTTTTTGTGCATTTGGGGATTTTTGCAATGACATTTTTCTGTGACATTTTGATCCTTTAAAATTTGTCTGTAAAAAGTCTTGGTTGAGGTTCAAATATGGCATAACGTGAATATTTTAGCTTTTTATATGTCACAAAACAGTGATTTAAACATATCCGTATCTAGATGTTGATGTCAAGGTGAGGCCGTCGGGGAGTTACAGGTCAGGTCTGTGGAGAGGCGTGGCGTGGCTGCTCACTCTAAGAATGCATCTTTTGTTTTAGCAATAAAAACCAAAACACACTAGATAAACTGAACCTACACTTGGATTGAGAATAGACACTTTTTTCCAGACTTTACAAAGATGTGAGTGTGGAGTGATTGACAGGTGGATTAGCCAATCAGAGACATGCATCGTTCGTTCGTATCAAAATAAATATGTCTGCTTACGGGGGAAAAAAGAAAGGAAACAATAACTGGAAATGACTGAAAAACATTAAACATTAAACTGAAAACCACTTAACTTAAAAATGTAAGTTCAGGAAATTAATATTAAAAGAAATGTTTTATTACGTTTTATGATTAGAAAATAAAAAAAACAAGTGAAAATGGAGGAAAAAGTCACTGTAAAAAGAACTGATCGACTTTTTCGTTGTATCACTGAGCTTATCCAGACTATTTACTCTCTAAAAGTGTGTGGGTGTGTGTTTACTCTCTCTTTCTCTCTATCTTCTTCTCTCTCTTTCCTCTCCCCCCTCTCCAATCTCTCTTTTTTGTCTCTCCTCTCCTACTCCCTCTCTTTCCTCTCGCTCTTTCTCTCTCTATCCCTTTCTCTCTCTTCTCTCCTGCTCCCTCTCTCTCCTCTTGCCCCTCACCGCTCCCTCTTTCGCCCTCCTTCTCTGTCCCTTTCTCTCTCTCTCCACTTCTCTTTCTCTCCTTTACCTCTTCCTCTCCCTTCCCTTTTCTCTCCCTCTCTCCTCTCTCTCTTCTTTCTCCCTCTCTCTCTTCTCTTCTCTCCCCTCTCACTCCCTCTCCCTCTTCCCCTCTCTCTGTCCATCTCTCTCTCTCTACCCCCATCTCTCCCCCTCTCTTGCTCTCTATCTCTTCACCTCTCTCCCCTCTCTCTCTCTGTCCATCTCTCTCTCTCTACCTCCCCCCTCGCTCTCTCTCCCTCTCGCTCTCTGTCTCCATCCCTCTTTCTGTTTGCCCTCCCACTCCCTCTCTCTCTCCCGCTCTCTCCCCCTCTCTCTGTCCATCTCTCTCTCTCTCTCTTTACCTCCCCTCCTCCCCTCCTGCTCTCTCTCTCTCTCTCTCTCTCCCAGTCTCTCTCTCTATCTATCTTTCTCTCTATCCTTCTCTCTACCCCCCTTTTCTCTCTCTCCCTTTCCATCTCTCTTTCTCTCCCTCTCTCTCTGCCCTGCCACTCCCTCCCTCCTCTCTCTGTCCATCTCTCTCTCTCCTTCCCTCACTCTCTCTCTCCCCCCCTCTGTCCATCTCTCTCTACCCCCTTCTCTATCTCTCCCCCTCTCTTGCTCTCTATCTCTTCACCTCTCTCCCTCTCTCTCTGTCCATCTCTCTTTCGCTACCTCCCCTCCCCCCTCTCTCGCTCTCTCTCTCTCTCTCTTCTCCCACTCTCTCTCTATCTTCTCTCTATTCCTCTTCTTCTCTCTCTCTCTTTCCATCTCTCTTTCTCTCCTCTCACTCGTCTCTCCCTCTCTTGCTCTCTCTCTCTCCCTCTCTGTATCTCTCTCTCTCTCTGTCTTCTCTCCCTCTCTCTCTCCTGTCCATCTCTCGCTCTCCTCTCTCCCCTCCCGCTCTCTCTCTCTCCCTCTCTCTGTCTTTCTCTCTCCTCACCCCCTCCGCCTTGTTTCTCTCTCTCTCCTCTCCCGGTCTTTCTCCTTCGTCGTGTCCGTGTGTGAGTCTCGTTCGTCTCGTTCGTCTCTTTCGTCTCGTCTCGTTCGTTCTCTCTTTCTCTTTCGTCTCGTTCTTCTCGTTCGTCTCGTTCGTCTCTTTCGTCTCGTTTCGTCTCGTTCGTCTCGTTCGTCGTCTCTTTTCGTTCTCGTTCTCGTCTCGTTCTTCTCTTTCGTCTCTCGTTCGTTCTCGTTCGTTCTTTTCGTCTCGTTCGTTCTTCGTCTCGTTCGTCTCGTTCGTCTCTGTTCGTCTCGTTCGTCTCGTTCGTCTCGTTCGTCTCGTTCGTCTCGTTCTTCTCTTTCGTCTCGTTCGTCTCTTTCGTCTCGTTCGTCTCTTTCGTCTCGTTCGTCTCGTTCGTCTCGTCTCGTTCGTCTCTTTCGTCTCGTTCGTCTCGTTCGTTCTCGTATTCGTCTCGTTCGTCTCTTTCGTCTCGTTCGTCTCTTTCGTCTCGTTCGTCTCTTTCGTCTCGTTCGTCTCGTTCGTCTCGTTCGTCTCGTTCGTCTCTTTCGTCTCGTTTCGTCTCGTTCGTCTCGTCTCGTTCTCGTTCGTTCTCTCTTCGTCTCGTTTCGTCTCTTTCGTCTCGTTCGTCTCGTCTCGTTCGTCTCGTCTCGTTCGTCTCGTTCGTCTCGTCGTTCGTCTCTTTCGTCTCTTTCGTCTCGTTCGTCTCGTTCGTCTCTTTCGTCTCGTTTCGTCTCGTTCGTCTCGTTCGTCTCTTTCGTCTCGTTCGTCTCGTTCGTCTCTCGTCTCGTTCGTCTCGTTCGTCTCGTTCGTCTCGTTCGTTCGTCTCGTCTCTTTTCGTCGTCTCTTTCGTCTCGTTCGTCGTCTCTCGTCTCGTTCGTCTCGTTCGTCTCGTTCGTCTCTTTCGTCTCGTTTCGTCTCGTCGTTCGTTCGTTCTTTCGTCTCGTTCGTTCGTCTCGTTCGTCTCGTTCGTCTCGTCTCGTTCGTCGTCTCGTTCGTCTCGTCTCGTTCGTTCGTTCGTCTCGTTCGTTCTTCGTTCGTTCGTCTCTTTCGTTCGTTCGTTCTCTCGTTCGTCTCGTTCGTCGTTCTCGTGTTCGTTCGTCTCGTTCGTCTCTTTCGTCTCGTTCGTCGTCTCGTCTCGTTCGTCTCGTTCGTCTCGTTCGTCTCGTTCGTTCGTCGTTCGTCTCGTCGTCTCGTTCGTCTCGTTCGTTCTCTTTTCGTCTCTTTCGTCTCGTTCGTCTCGTTCGTCGTCGTTCGTTCGTCTCGTTCGTCTCGTTCGTTCGTCTTCTTCGTCTCGTCTCTCGTCTCGTTCTCTTTCGTCTCGTTCGTCTCGTTCGTCTCGTTCGTCTCGTTCGTCTCGTTCGTCTCGTTCGTCTCGTCGTCTCGTTCGTTCGTCTCGTTCGTCTCGTCTCGTTCGTCTCGTTCTTCTCGTTCTTCTCGTTCGTCTCGTTCGTCTTGTTCGTCTCGTTCGTCTCGTGCTCGTGTCGTTGCTCCGTGTCCTGATCTCGTCTCTGATGGTTTGCTTGTCTCTCTGGTTGATTGTGGCTCTGGTTGTCGGGGTCAGCTGCAGCGCGTGACCCAGAGGTGTTACCCGGGTCACATCTCTCTCACTCCTCACACAGTCGCTGCTTTCCAGGAACCTGCAGCGTGTGATGGATCGAGTCCAGCGCCACACAGTCACACAGTCACACAGGCACAGAGGC